CCCATTCACCCCCCCCCCCCCCCCCCCGGCGAAGTCTCTTTATAAATCATACGCTAGAAAAAAAAAGTAGTAATAAGATAGATCTCACAACCTGCTCTGCGGCTGATACTTTTTCTTTTCGCGTCTCAAGAAGAGGAATGGCCCTTCTTGAGGAATTTTATCTTTGGGAGAAGTAGGCGGGAGCGACTCGCCTGTATAGCTCATTAAAAAGTATTGTCAAGCACCGTCCAGATAAAAAGAAAAGACAAGGAGAAATACTATTGGAAAGTAATTGCTACAACGAGACATTGATCGATCAAACTGTTAGATTTTCTATTGTTGTCATTCGTGCCTTTCTCTTCATTTTCACCGGCGTCTGTGATTTAGCTGTTAGGCACTTCGCTGTTAAACATTGCAGACCCGAGTTCGAATCCCGAATATAGAAAACATCTTTACTGAATAGCTTGGTCTTTCTGCTGAGACGTTGTATTCCTTTCAGCCCGGGTTGGCTCTGACAGAAAGGTCCAAATGTTTCAGGCTAAATAAATTCAAATTGTGCCAATGAGTGTGTAACATAAAAAAGAAAATCAGAGATAGGTGCATGTGTCTGCTTGTGTTATCGTGTGTGTGTGTGTGTGTGTGTGTGTGTGTGTGTGAAGTGTGTGTTTATAATTAAGTGTGTGCATTGTTGATTCACGAGTGTCTGTGCATGACAGAGAGAGAGAGAGAGAGAGAGAGAGAGGGGGAGAGAGAGAGAGAGAGAGAGAGAGAGAGAGGGGGGGGGGAGAAAGAGACAGATAGACAGACAGACATACAGACATATAGACAGATATACTGTGAACAAAGATAGAGACAAGACAGAGAGACAGACAGAGAGGATAGACAGACAGAGAGACAGAGAGAGAGATAGATAGATAGATAGATAGATAGATAGATAGATAGAGAGAGAGGGAGAGAGAGATGGAGATAGAGAGAGGGAGAAAGAGAGAGAGAGAGAGAGAGAGAGAGAGAGAGAGAGAGAGAATGAAACAGAAAGATAGAGACTGATAACGAAAAAGAAAGAGAAAAAAGAAGGGGAAGAGTGTGTTTGACTCAGAGAAGGGGGGCAAGAGAGCGAAATAGATAGATAAATAGATAAGTAGATGGATAGGTAGATAGATAGATAGATAGATAGATAGATAGATAGATAGATAGATAGATAGATAGATAGATAGATAGATAGACAGATAGATAGATAGAGAGAGTGAGAGAGAAA